CGTAGGTACCTTCATTAGCAACAAAATTATAATACTAAATTATACAAAATGCTATTGTAATGTACCCGTCTACTCCGCCTATGGCTTCATTTACTTATCAGTTAAATATCAATTAGTTTGACCGAACTAACCAGCTCCACTGTAAACACTGATTAACAAAATAAGTGTTTTCCATACCTTTTATATCAGGTAGTTTAACTTACGAGAGAGTAATGACTAATTCACAAGTAAAAATATATTATTCAGTAAATTGTATCGCCAAGCTTGTTTTGTAAATGTTATTTAAGTCGGATGTTCTTGTTTGGCCACAGTAAACAAGCGATGGTTTAACAAATATCTTTTACGCCTAAAATTGAGTTACGTTCGTGGTTAAACCTGTTCTAAATTAGTATAAATGTAAAACTAGAAACAGATTAAGAGATCATCTTAGAACCAAGTAGCAATAGTATATTAGATGTAAGTTGAAACGTGTAATCAAAACTTATAAAATAAAAGTTACTGAGTACGGCAGTTTTAATCGGTATTACCCAAGCCAAAAGGAAAACCCTTTGGGGAACATCACACTACTCATACCAAGTTAAACGTTGACGGAATGTCGTTCGAACGACTAAAGGTCGGGACACACATTTCCGCGCCGAGCCCGTTCCGTAGCCCTTTGCAATGTACGCCGAAACTGTGATTAGATCTCCATTTCTCATCCTAAAAAAACCCTTAAGTACCAAATTTCGTGGGAATCATGCTATTAAGATAAATATATACAAAAAAAGTTTTAAAAATTGATAACTGACACCCTGTATCTCGAAAACTGTCAACTTTTGGACGAAGGTAAATTGGGCTAGATTCTCATATTTCAGCCTCAGGAATTTGTAGTAGTGTTTTGTACAGACCTTTTAGAGAGTTAATTTCATTAGGCAATAGACTGCCGTAACATGTATCATGTATTAAGATTGCAAAAAATATTTCTCATTCGGTGAACAGATGGGTGAAGGTCGACCTTAGTCGGGATCTTGGACTAGTATAATCGTAATTGTTCACACTGCATCAGCATTGGCTGATGCTTCTTGCCAATCTATACTGCCTTGTAGAGAATTAAAAAGAAATTGTCCGATTCTTTCCAGTGTATGGTCTCATCATAAAAGTTTTTAGAGGGAAAGCTTCAACAGCCACAATAACCATGGAAAGTAAGATTGATTACTTAGAAAATGTATACTGTTAAGTAAAACTAACTCAAAGTAGTACAAGTTAAGTGAATAACGTTACGTTAAATGTCAAAAGTCTGTTTTGAAGACTGAGATAGTATTTTCTCCCAGTATTACTAATTAATAATTATTTTTGATTGTTACTAAGTGATTTTAATACTTAAAAGACATGTGCCATTATTAAATCCTAAGAGATTTGTACTAAGTTTTATTAAATTCCATTACAATTCTTATGAAATTGGGTATTTTATCAGTGCTATGTCACCCTCGTCAGTCCCCTGGCAGTCAAATTCTGAAATTTTGAAATATCTCACAATCTACTTAAAAAAGTGACTGGTCCGATTTGGAACAATATATTTATTAGATCATCACCAGATATTGCAATGACACCTTTGTTTCACATCTAACTTGTTTTGTCATGATTACATTGTTCGAAAAACAAATAATAAAGCGTTTCTTGTTATCACTTTATGTCATACGCCTTGTTGAATTTACTAACATTTTCGCCCGTGAGGAATGAATCTGTAAAAAGAATAATTAAAAACTAAAAAAATAATTGCTAAAACAGATCTTCCGAAATCTCAACTCATAGCTGGATTGCCTCCCGCATGGGACTCCAGTACCTTCCGGCCCTGCCGGCTAACTAACATCAAACATCTTCAGTTTTACTTGGAAGTGTGTATGTCTAATTCGAGTGAGGTGACATTTAGTGAGAAATTAAATAAGTCGGGTGTTATTTATCATTAGCAAAGGATCTTAATTTATACATTTTGTTATCGGTTGATTTGTATCTATATTTGGGTAGTTAGAGCAACGATCGTGGGTTTCTCTGCCATGCTCTTTCCCCACAGGAGCTCTAGGTGAGCCTGTCACTCTCATTTTATGTTAAATGGTTGTTAATGTTTTTGTTGTTCTTTCTAATTGTCACATGTTTAATTTGAAGACTATTGTACAAAAATAATAAAGTAATCCAAAAAATGTAAGTTCTACAAGTAAAACGCTAATATGCAACTGAAGACAAAGAAAAAAACTTGATCTATAGAGGAACGAGGACTGGCCATGTCCCTTTACTATAAAAGTCCCACTAATTACACAGTTATGAAGAAAAACAATAAGTTCTACCAGCTGTATCTACAATGAAAAGTTGGATATCAATGAGCAAATATAAGACAAGATTCACTAATTTCTATTATTTTAGAGTTAGAGAGAAAAAGAGTAATACTCAAAATTTAAATAATCAAAGATAAATATGTATGGATACATGGCATTACTTTATTTGGACACATATTTCTTTAGTAGATTTTTACAAAAATACCTTCGATACAAATATCCATTTAACTCATTTCATAGAACAAAATTTATAAATATAATTGGAATCAATTACATGTCAGTATTACACAATAGATTTAAAAGCAACGAAACGTGTCCAGTTGCAAATTGAATGCATATTGAACTAACCCTTGCACTATGTCTTTCTCGCTCATAAACTGGTGCACTGATTCAGTCATTGTTTCCGATTCTTCTACCGGTTGTTTAATTCTAATGCACTCAGCATTTTTTAAAGAATATTTAAACCCCAGAAACTTGGTGAATCGGGGCCAGTCCGGAGCCACTTTGAGAGTCAGTCGATGGCCAGGAGCCAGTTCACCACATGAAAAGCAATCCCTCAGAGGTGTAAGTATGTTTTGTGCAATAAAACGTAAAAATTCATTGATTTGTCTTTGTTTTTACCCTGTTAGCAACCAAGCGAGTATCCCGAGAAAATAATATGTATTTTTTTAAGTTTTTTTTTTTGGTATTTTCAATAGGAAACGTGACAATATCTTCGCCAAATTCAAATTAAAGCTAGTACAATGACAAATACAGAAAAGAAATGTCTATAACCAGAAATCTTGAATATTCCAAAAAATTAGATCTTATCGAAGGATTTCAAAACCTCGGCCCTTTAGGAAGATGTAATAATCAAGCAACACATGCGTTAGTGTTTTGTTACGTGGCTTCTATTCATCATAGAAATTGCCGCTTGCATATATTTTTTTACACAGTACGGTAAATCACATTGCCATAAAAGATTTAATTTTGCTCGCTATAAAACATTAACCCATTCGAAGCCATGTTCCAAAATTGGAACTTGTGTTAATTTTGCTACTATTTAATAGATGGAGCCAGCATTATTACTTTTAAATTATTATCCCCATTCTATGGACTCAGTAGCACGTGTTGATGGTGAAATTTGAGGGTTAGTTTACAACAGTAAATAGTAAAGTTTACATTAATTTGATTTTGTACAGAGACCTTGAAGCTAACTTTTCGTCTTTGTATGGAAGACAGTGTTTCGATAAATATTCAGTTGTGTTGTTTTATAGAGAATTTCCCACGTTTATACCACACGTAAGTTATTGTAGAATAAGAATTATTTTATTATTTTTACCTCATAGCCTCCATTTTTATTATGTTCCAAAATTGGAACATGGCCACATCTGTTGCAACTTCGTATTGATTTCAGATTATGGATTGTAAATTATTTTATGGGAAGAAATACACTTATTCGTCCAGTCTTAACAAGTTACTCGATGAGCTAAATGAAGAACGTTTTGATTCCGCAAATATATATATATATAAATCCACCAAGGAACGATTCTGAAGGTGACTCCGACTTGTCAGACAACGAAAATGAAATTGAATTCTCTGACAAGTTTTCTCAAAAAATATTAGGGGCTTCAGCTGAAGAAACTCTAGTATTACGTGGTAGTCATGATCATCATCAAGAAACGGGTTCGAGTAGTGACGATGATGAGCATTTGATAAACTATGTAGAGAGAAATAAAAGAAGAAAACTCTCATTCACAACACCATTACGGGAGAAAGATGTGCCGGGAGGCAGCAACGAGAATAAAGAGTTTTTGATAAATAAACGCCAGAAAGCAAGTACGTCATCCACTCAAGAAATATGGCATAAAGGAGACTTACCGGAGTATATAAATCAACAGAATCCTGTAATCCCCGATGGCAACAGTAATTCTGTTTCTCATGAAAACCCTCTTCAATTTTTTGAACTATTTTGGACTGAAAGTTTTTTTGAGTATCTAAAAGAAGAAACTATACTGTATGCTACACAGAAAAATGCGAACACGTCCTTTACTGTTTCAGTAGATGAATTAAAAGTTTTTTTTTCGATTCTGCTTATTTCAGGCTACTCTAAGCGACCCAGAAAAGATATGTATTGGAGCGTGGACTCGGATCTTCACAATGAAGCTATTGCTAGTGCAATGTCCAGAAACAGATTCCGAGATATTCTGAGAAACTTACATTTTGTCAATAACGCGGAGTTACCAACAAATGACAAATTTGCTAAAGTAAGACCACTCATTCAACATCTGAACACAGTATTTTTAAAATACATGCCACTTACTCAGAATACCCCAATAGCTGTTGATGAATCAATGGTGCCATACTAGTCACCATATCTGCAAGCAGAGAATACAAGGAAAGCCTATTAGGTATGGTTTTAAATTTTGGTCTGAGAATGTATCAAATGGAAACCTTGTGAACACAGAACCATACCAAGGAAAGGGAACTTTCTTAGGTTACGGTTACAGTGCAAGCGATTTCGCGCGAATTACGGTTCGCGCGAAATTGCGCGAATTCGCGCGAACTATCAAACCTGCACAAACAAATGCAGGTGGTTACAGTACATGCGAATTAGTAGCGCTAATCGCTGCTTTTCGCTAGAAGTTCAAACAGGTTTGTTTTTTTCGCGCGAACTGAATGCGATCGCGCGATTGTTTTAAGTCTTGTTCAATTGTCTCACAGTAATTATCAGAGATATTTTCAAAATGGACAGTGAAAAACTTATTTTCTTGGTGTTTGATAGAAGGCTATTGTGGGACCAAAAGAGTAAGGGCTATCACAACCGTGATAAATCACGGAAATTGTGGGAAGATGTGGCAACAGAATTAAATGTTAGCAGTTAAGTATATCTTTTTTCGTTTTATTTTGTAGTATACATCACAGAGCATAGGCATGCATGTAAATAATTGTAAATATAAGTACAGTACAATTTATATAATTACTTATATATTATTATACTGCTGTGGTATTGCACCGATTTCGCTATTAAAATATTGTTTAAATGTGTCTCGTACGTCGTATGCTCTATTGGCAGATCTGTTGTTTACACGTGATGTGAAATTGTAATTACTCTGTGAATTGAATAGCTCGGATTGTAATACATTGGACTGATTGATACCTTCTCTGTCTATAATAATATTATGTAATACGCAAATACATTTTACTATTATATCCACCTTGTCAGGATGACATTCTATAGGTTTGTTAAGCAGTCTCCACTTTGCTGCCATTATTCCAAATGAACATTCTACCGTTCTTCGACTGCGTGACAGTCTGTAATTAAAAATTTCTTCTTCGCGTGAAAGATTTCGTTTAGAATATGGTTTCATTAAATATGATTTTAGAGGATATGCATCATCACCTAGTAAAACGTGCGGAAGGATTACTTCGGAATTAGGTAGTTTCTTATCTTCTGGAAGAAAACGTCCGTTTTCTAATTGCTCATATAAAGTGGAAGATGCGAATGTTCCGCCATCGCTTTGCTTGCCATATCCACCCATATCAATGCATAGCAATTTATAATTTGCATCAGCTACAGCTTGTAGTACTACGGAAAAGTACTGTTTGTAATTATAGAACATAGTACCCGAGTTTTTTGGGCATTTAATACGAATATGTTTTCCGTCAATACAACCAACACAGTTAGGGAAATTCCACTTGTCATAAAATGTTGAAGAACTTTTTAATAGTAATTCCTTTGTAGGCTGAGGTAAATGCCGTGTCTGTAATATTTCCCAGATGGCTGTACAAGTTTCATATATGACTCTTCTTATTGTACTATGTGACATTCTGAATGAATAGGCTAAAGAACGAAATCCAAGTCCAGTGGAGAGGAATCTGTAACAAAATAAAAAAAAACCTATAGCTATACAGGGTGACTCAGTCATCAGTACATTATTTTTGAAAAACTAATGACTGAATCGCCCTGTATATTTTACAAAATAAATATTCTTATCTTAGTATCTACTTATGCATTTCCTATACCTATATTTCTTGTTTACACTTTTAGGTGAAGTAGCAAAAACCAAATGGAAAGGATTACGAGATACCTTTCGAAAAGAGTATCAGAAAACTATTAAATACAAACAGTCCGGTGCAGCAGGAGGGGAAAAAAGTGGTTCTTCTTGGCCATACTTCGAGAGTTTGTATTTTTTGGCAGATCAAATGACGCCACGGGAAACTTCGGGAAATATTTCGTTACCTAGAGAGAATTCATTATTACCAGTAAACGAGAAATCAAATAACGGACTAGACGCAGAACCAGAGTCTCCTAAAACGCAAAATACCGACGATAACCATACGAACGACGCAATACAGGTTTTACAATCTACAAGTACTGCCAACCAATCTAAACGACCTAGGGAAGACCAAAATTTATTGCCTGAAACACAACAGCAGGAGCCATTACGTAAACAGCAGGAATCCTCAAGCAAGAAACAACAAACTCTGCCATCGAAATCTGCAAAACGCGGAAATGATGTCCAAAAGAGGATGCTTGCTTTAGAAGAAGAAAAACTAAATTTTTTTAAACAAAGAAAAGTGGAAACAGATATACACAAAGATTATGACTACCATTTTTTAATGAGTTTACTACCTCATTTCAAAAATGTAAAAGATGAAAGAAAGCTCCATGTACAGTTACAGCTGCAACAAGTTCTTCTGAACGAGATAACATCCTACAAAAGTCAGCCATCAGGTCACGTAATTCTCCCAAATAGATTTTCCGGGGTCCACGCTTCATATTCTACTAGTACTACTCCTCAATCAGAACCATCACCTGCTTCTTCAACTCAATCGAGCTGGTATGACTTATCTTCACCTCCACTTTTCTCTCAACCTTCCG